GTGTGTGTGTGTGTGTGTGTGTGTGTGTGTGTGTGTATTTGTATGAGTGAACGAGTGTGTGTGTGTGTGTGTGTGTGTGTTTGTATGAGCGTGTGTGTGTGTGTGTTTGTATGAGCGTGTGTATGTGTGTGTGTATGACAGAGAGAGAGTGTCTCACAGCTGACCTGTGTGTGTGTGTGTGTGTGTGTGTAAGATCTCTCTGGAGACGGAGCGTCTGGGGCCGCGGCGCGTCGAATCTCTGCGCAGGGAGGATGAGGACTGGCAGAGGAAGGCTCACACTGCTGTGCTCTCCATACAGGACCTGACCGTCAAATACTTCGAGAACACGGCCCGTGCTCAGAAAGGTGCGACCGCCGTGTGTCTGTCTGTCCGGTGTCCTTCAGGCCTGATCACAATCAACATGAAGTCAATGAGGTCACATGATCAGCAAGATCTGACAGGAATGACTGATAGACAGAGTCTGTATTTACTGCACTATACAGTTTATAGCAAAATGTAATTTTATTATCGTCCAGCTCTGATCTACTAAATGCAACTGTAAGACATGAAGATAATAAGATGATTTTCTGTAAAGCTGCTTTGAAACAATGCGTTCTGAAATAAATTTAACATGACTTTCTCAACATGGCTTAAAATGATGGAAAATAAGACAAAAAATGTTTTTTCTGAGCAAAAAATGTTTTTAATTACCGGTAGGGCAGTATGTATTTATGTAATTTAACAATTTATATATATTTTATTTAATAATTTTACAATAATGCCACTCCTAGTTTCTGTAAATAAAAAGTCTGAAAATGAAATTGTCATTCTAGCAGAAGTATCAGAGATATTGTGAGGATCTTGGAGTCAAACATTGATTTACACTACTATACTCTCTCTCTCTCTCTCTCTCTCTCTCTCAAACTCTCAGACACACACACACACACACATACACAAACTCTCTAACACACACACTCACACACTATATACACACACACTCTCACACACACACACACAAACTCTCTCACACACACACTATACACACACTATACACACACACACACACACACACACTATATACACACACACACTCTCTCACACACACACAAACACACGCACTTATATACACAGGTTTTTAGTAAACAAGTTCTAATTTAAAGTGCGCAGATCTGCATCTCACCTGATGCATGCGTTCTCTTCAGATGCAGGGTCTGCAGGGGGGTGAGGATGCCATGGTGCGTCTGGACCAGCTGGAGGCCATGTACTACGAGCTCCAGCTGCAGCTCTACGAGATCCAGTTCGAGATCCTGAAGTATGAGGAGCTGTTGCTGACGGCGCAGCTGCAGAGTCTGCGCAGACAGATGAGCGGTGAGCGTCTGCACCCCTGCGTCCTGGCTGATGCCCGTTCAGCCGTCATCTGTGTGTGTGTGTGTGTTTGCAGAGAGGCAGGAGGAGGTGGTTTACTACGACACCTACGAGAGTCCTGATGCCATGAAGTCCACCGATGACCCCTCGACCCCTCTGACCCCTCCCAGAGACGACGTGGCCAAACTCCAGCAGAGGACCAGACAGCTGGAGGCCCGCAGAGGACGCATCACCGCCAAGAAAGCCTACCTCAAACACAAGAAGGTACCAGAGGGAGAAATATCAGTGTCATGTAGCGGTCAACCGATGTATTTGCCGATATTTTACATTTTCAAATTTATCGGCATCAGCTGATATTGGCATTTTTTAATTATCATTATCAGGTTTTTTTTCTGTTTGGCCGATATTTTGCATTTTTTAATTATCGGCATCGGCTAATAACTTTTTTCTGTTTGGCTGATATTTGCCATTTTTAAATTATCATTATCAGGGTTTTTTTCTGTTTGGCCGATATTTTAATTTTTTTAATTATCATTATCAGGTTTTTTTTCTGTTTGGCCGATATTTACTATTTTTTAATTATCGGCATCGGCTAATATCTTTGTTCTGTTTGGCCGATATTTAAAATGTTTTAATTATCATTATCAGGGTTTTTTTCTGTTTGGCTGATATTTACCATTTTTTAATTATCGGCATCAGCTAATAATTTCTGTTTGGCCGATATTTACCATTTTTTAACTATCGGCATCGGCTAATAACTTTTTTCTGTTTGGCTGATATTTACCATTTTTTTATTATCAGCATCAGCTAATAGCTTTTTTTTGTCTGGCCAATATTTGTCATTTTTTAATTAACGCTGTCTTTTAATTTTTTCTGTTTGGCCGATATTTGTCATTTTTTTAACTATCGGCATCAGCTAATAACTTTTTTCTGTTTGGCCGATATTTTGCATTTTTTAATTATCATTCTCAGGTTTTTTTTCTGTTTGGCCGATATTTACCATTTTTTAACTATCGGCATCAGCTAATAACTTTTTTCTGTTTGGCCGATATTTACCATTTTTTTACTATCGGCATCGGCTGATAACTTTTTTCTGTTTGGCTGATATTTACCATTTTTTAATTATCATTATCAGGTTTTTTTTCTGTTTGGCCGATATTTACCATTTTTTAACTATCGGCATCGGCTAATAACTTTTTTCTGTTTGGCCGATATTTTGCATTTTTTAATTATCGGCATCGGCTAATAACTTTTTTCTGTTTGGCTGATATTTACCATTTTTTTATTATCAGCATCAGCTAATAGCTTTTTTTTGTCTGGCCAATATTTGTCATTTTTTAATTAACGCTGTCTTTTAATTTTTTCTGTTTGGCCGATATTTGTCATTTTTTTATTATTGTTATCTGATGAGTGGGGTTATCTGAAAAATTTATTTTGACAGCACCTGAGCGCACAATGCTCCTGTTATCCGTCTTTATTAGTTTACGGTCTCTGTTTAACAGTCGTGGCGTCTGGTTTTGTTCTCAGGAAATCTGCATCATCAATCACACGCAGAAGCTGCAGCAGCGGCAGGGCGGCCCGGACTGTGTTTCCCAGCAAGCTTTGCTGCAGGTGTGACTCAACAGAGCATTACATTCCCCAATGATGAATCACATGTTGATGACACATGATTGTGTATCTGCAGGATGAAGAGGAGGAAGAGGAGCAGCGGCTGTCCAGAGTGAGTCAGGAGAGACAGAGGACACTGGACCGACTGCGCAGCTTCAGACAGGTCCGACTCTCAGTATCTGAAAACACACATCACAGCATCACATTCACACAGCACTGCCTCTAGAGACCCCCTGTACTGACACCAGTCCTCATTTGTTGTGAATACAGTCGCTTCACTACATCTGGTTTTAGTTGACTAAAATTATTCAAAATCTTTTTTTTTTTCATTGAAATAAAGCTGAAATATTAAATTGCTCACCTTCAAACCAAACTTTCAAAAATAGTTTTTGTTAAGCAAAATGAAACTGAAATAAAATGAAAATATAAATATTAGAAGAAAAACTTTAACTTAAAAAAAACTTAATAATAATTAGAAATGTTGCCTTGGCCACTAAGTAAAATAAAGTAAGTTGAAATACTAAAATGACTACAATAAATAATAAACTAATAAACTAAAGGAAATAATGACTAAAATTAATGAAAATAAAGCTAAACAGAAATATAAAAAAACGAATAAAAATGACAAAAGCATTTAAAATGGAAATAAATCTAAAATGAAATTATAAATATTAGATGAAAGACTTAAAAACCTAAACAAAAATTAGAAATAAAAATAATAGCTAATAAAAGATGCAAATAAAATTGAAAAAGAAAAAAAAACACAAAATTGTTTTTGTTACTTGAAATTAAGCTGAAACAAAAATGCAAATAAAAAACTTCAACTTATTTAATTTTGGTTGGCAAGACAACATTTCTAATTTTCCTTTGTTAAATACTAAAATAAAAATATCTACATAGAATAGAATAAAAATGACAAAGGCACATAATAATGACTAAACCTTAAACTGACATTAAAAAAGTGAAGCTATAAAAAAAAAAGCTTAATAGTCCCATAAAAAGTAATAAGTAAAAGTAACAATAAAAAATACTAAGATAACACAGCTACTGCTTATTGTGTAGATATGTACTTCTGTTCAAAACAGTGTGATAACACAACATCTCCAGCAGATTAAAATCATTAGTGAATGCAGAGCGCCGCGGCTGTGTGCTGATTGGTCTGCTGTTTCTGCAGCGCTACCCGGGTCAGGTGACTCTGAAGTCCACTCGTCTGCGTCTGGCGTACTCCAGGAAGAGAGCGGGCGCCGAGCCGGAGCAGACGCAGACGCAGGCCGCTAGCGTGCAGACGGATGACGCTCCGGCTGCACTGGAACATTCGGCAGGAGTGCCAGAGCTGCGCCGGCCCGAGAGCTTCCTGTCGCTGCCTCCGATGGGCGGAGCCGTGGCCGAAGCCCCGCCCCCTGACACGCACGCATCACTTCCTCCCTCCAGAGAGCTGCTGCTGCTGGACTCGCCCATCTCCCCTCCTCTTCCTCCTCCTCCTCCTCCTCCTCCTCCTCCTCCCTCTCTGGAGGAGACGCCCGCAGGTGACCCGCCTCAGACCGCCAGCCCTGTTCGCTCTCCCCTCGGACCGTTCACCGCGCGCTTCTTCGACAGCAGTCAGCTGCTCAACGCCAGGAAGAAGCTGAGGAAGACGGCGTCGCTCGAGTCCAGCCAGTGGAGCAGAGGTGAGACGCACACAGGCACAGGGTTTGTGATGTCTAGGGTTGGGAATCGAAAACCGATTCCAGAATCAGATACTTAAGATCAGGAATCGGATACTTGTTGTCAAATTAAAATTTCGATTCCGCCTATCGAGTCAAACACCAACGTGATTCTGTTCCTAGATTACAATGATTGGTCTGTTTCATTCCTCAAGCTTTGACGTGTGCGATCAGTGTTGTGCTCACGTGGTTCGTCCGTGCAGAGTACGATCACATCAGTGTGATCTGAACATTTAAATCTGCGTTCACGAAGTGAGCAGCTGTCTGTCATGAATGAAACAGCTTCAGTCTTGTCAGACACAGTATCATTATTCTGTTACAAACATTCAAATCACAGAAGTACTGGATAAATGTTTATAGTTCAGATATAAACTTGCGATTAAAATAGATTAAATCACCTTTTGAAAGTAATTTGACACTTCAAATGAAGATTTATCGGTTACATTGTTACGCCAGTAGGTGGCGAAAAGGGGTTGTTAAAATGTATCTGTCTTTGAATCATACAAGAGATTCGTTCAAGAACGCTGATTCATCCAGTAATGAAACAAGTACATCTTGAGTGAGTCATTTAATCATTAAATAAATTACATGTGATTTTGTTTAGTTGTCTAATGTTTTTTCTTCAGAATCATGAGAGAACCACAACTTCCATTGGGGAAAAAAAAGAAAAAAACTCAATTTATCCAGAATCATGCAATTCTATTTTGCACACAAACAGCTCTGAAAGAGTTTGTATGTAGCCTGTTGGTTTTTGTTCATGGTATTCAGCTCCAATAAATGGTTTGAAAAAAAAGAGACGCGGGATAAATGTTTGATATCATTATTTAATCACATTGGAATCGAAAAGCAGAATTGGAATTGATCAAATTCAAGCGATACCCAACCCTAGTGATGTGGTGCGGTCTCTCACGAGTGTTGTGTCCTCAGCGAGCTCGCCGATGGATGAGGTTCTGGCCAATATTTAGATTTTTTTGCAAACCTCAGATTCCAGATTTTCAAATATTGTCCTATCCTAACAAACCATACATCAATGGAAAGCTTATTTATTCAGCTTTCATATGATGTATAAACCTCAATTTCACAAAATTGACCCTTATGACTGGTTTTGTGTTCCAGGGACACACATATACGTTCTAAGATTTTGCTGACGTTCTAATTAAATTATAAAAATGTTACTTATGAATGTTGAAAACATCCAGGTTTATTAATTATGAATTTATCACTGTTCAGACATGTTTATCCTTGGTTGTGCGAACATTAAAGGAACATTCCATTTGATCATTCTGCAAACATTATAGGAACGTTATGCTTGAATATTCTCTGAACTGAGAAACATTATTAAAAATCAGCTAAGTGAGCCAACATTCTAATAACGTTAACGACACGGAATCACTCTGAAGTGAGAGTCAGAGCAAAGCAGACAATCATTAACACGATCAATCACACTGGAAGCAGAGTTCAGGAGGACATGAGTGAGTTTGCTGTAGCTCATTATCGTCTTGATTTGGAGGCGTTTCTCCAGGTTTTATCTGAATGAACATGACATGTTTTCATCACGTGTACTGTATTTAGCTTTTGATATTATTTGTTTGAATCATATTCATTGTTCTGTATGTTCTATGCATTATGTGGTCAATCAAACCCGTTCCACTGAAACACTACAGCCGCTCGCCCGCTCCACACGTGCAATATTATATTAGAAACTGAAAACAGACCTTCTGATGTATAATAAAGCGCAGATCCATCGCATGTTTGCCCACAGGACACCTGTATTTATTGAGTTCAACTAAATATTTAAATGTGTAAAGCAATATCATAAAATGTGCAATTTTTTTTTTTTTTTAACTCCTGTTTGCTTTTACTCTGCTTTTCCGAACATTGTACTCCTAATAGATATTTTAAATTTGCATTTTGCCCCCTTACATAAATAAAGTTTCAATAGAAATCCCTTTTTGTTGTGTTCATCTGATTCGATTGAGCTGCACTGACACTGTCTGACCACTGGGTGGCACCAGCTGACCAGCATCGTCATGACAACAGCCGAAGGCGGGGCTACGGGCACCAGTGGGCGTGTCTGATCACGTCACAATCGGCTCTTCACGAATATACAAGCAGAAATATTTCAATCAAATAATATTCTAGAACGTGATATTAAACCAAATATGCGGCATTCTCTGAGGCTCTGATAAAAAGCCTCACTAAGAGCGCATGTAAGTGATTAAATGTTACTAATTAAGCAAACTTAAGTCACTGAAAACATGCTAAAACATGCTCATTTCTATTGGATATTATTTACACTGTAACAAAGGTTTTTGTCTTTGCTTACACTGCAAAAGATGATTTTCTTAGTGTTTTTGTTTTCCAATACAATTATATAAACACTATTGAATCAAGAAGCAAAATGACACATTCTGTCTTGTTTTCTGGAGGGAAATATCTGCCACTGGGTCAGAAAAACAAGCATTTCAAAGGGAAAACAATATTTTTCTTACGCTTCTAGCAAATATTTTTCTCTCATTTTAAGTAAAAAATTTATTTTATAATTTTTTTTCAGAAAATGACTCTTTTCAAGTAAATGTCTTCTGATTTAAGAATATTTACATATTTTTACTGAAAAACGACAAATACACTTTTTTTTTTGCAATATTTCTAATATGGACATAAACTTGATTTAGTATCTGATAATCAGTCCATTTTCTGCCATCATTTACTCACCTCATGTGGTTCTGTGTGACTTCATTCTGTTGAACACAAAAGCAGATGTTTAGATGAATGTTCAAGCTGCTCTTAGGATGCAGAAAGGATACAAACAAATAGAGTTTCATTAGAGTTGTCCATGAGATCTGAGCTCCTTCTGAAGTCACGTGATGAAAAGCCTCGGGTGAACACGTCATCTCATATTCCACCCCAAAACCAAAACAAATAAAACATACTGAATCATGAAGACGTCCAGACACAGTAACAACACAGACATCTCGCATCACAGTCATGGGAACAAAAACAAATCTTCATGCACTGCATCAATTCCTGATTTTGAGGTGAAATATGATTTTCTCCACAGGAGTACAAACATCTGTCAGGGTTCAAACATTCATAAAGAGAAAAACAACACCGCTGACACTGATTTTTCCTCTTTAATTTTACTATAAACTCAGAATTACAATTGTGTTTGAGTGTGTGGTATAATCAATATTCTCAATTATTATTCAAAGGTTTCTGAGCCTCAAAGTGTCACATCGGCTCATAAATCAAACATGATAATAATAAAGCCGTCCAGTGTGTCAAAAACTAGCACATCTATCTGAGCCCTTGAAGATCTTCAGAAGCACATGATCACTCAACTTCATCTGTACAACAGCTTTGGCAAAGAGAAACACTCGGCTGAAATCTGATGACATTGTTTCACTTTTAAATACTTCAATAGTTCAAAAATATTGCCAGTTTATCTCACATTTAAAAAAAACACATATCCACATTGGAAAGGATAAAAAACAAGAAAAATGCAAACAAACATACTTGAAATAACTACTTAATGCAGCCACTGTGATTAGAATATATAGATATCATTTTTTTTTTTTTTACAATAAATAACCAGAAATCATACAGTAGGAAGAAAACCGCTGCTCTTCACGAAGAGCGGAAACAACAAACCCCAAGAACAAAATGATTCACCTCAATCCCGTTTGTGTTTAAAAAGTGTTTGGAAAGGAAGGACGCTTCCAGACGAAAAATCCCTGATAGTGTCCGTTTCTCTCGTATTGCTCAGATTTCAGTGGAAGAGCAGCAGATGATACACGCGCGATCTAGCGGCCGGATCGCATCTTCAGCTCGCCACGTTTTTATAGAAAGCACCGCAAGAGTCAGAAAGCACAGCAAGGTTTCTGTTTCTGCAGCGCAGTCTGTGCATGGTGGATGAGAGTCGAGAGGGAGATCAGTGTCTGGAAACATGAGCGTGTGCGTGTCTCTAGCTGCTGTCGCTCTCCATCAGCTTGGCCAGACTGTCTCGTAGCTCGCTCAGCTCAAAGATCTTTCCGTCCAGCAGCTCCAGCAGCGAGCGCAGACTCCTCCTGAAGCTCTCGCTCTCCAGCTGGCTGTTCTCCAGACGCTGCTCCAGATCCAGCAGCTGCGACTCCAGCTCCGCGCTCCTCAGCTCCGTCTCCTGATGGAGGCAAACACCGAGGGATTACTCACTGCTGCTGCTGTCAGGTGATTAACATGTTAGAGCTAATTCATTACATCATGTACTGGTTAATTCATCTAATTAATCACACATCAGTCAGATTCAGAGAAATTACTCCCAAAAGATCATTTAATATCATTATTGTGTTAAATGAGAAAAGCATTGAATAGGCACTGCAAAAAGTAGCTTTAGAAATAAACAATAATAATAAATGGGTATTCATGTTTTTTTTTACAAATATTAAAATCTAAAATTTGAAAAATGAAATGATACTCTAAAATCCCCAGTAGGAGTTAATGAGTGAGTCGTTCATTCAACTGATTCGTTCAAACAGCTGATTCATTCGTAAACGAAGCACATGGCTGTCCTTATGAACGAGTCACTGAATCACTGGCTCACTCGATTCATCCAAACAACTGATTCATTCAGTAGCCCCTCACTGAAGAACACAAGATCCAGGGGGTGTGGTTGGATCCACATCTAGGGGGTGGAGATGGGTGGGTTTAGGTATATGTAAGGTGGGAGGAGTTGAATCTGGATCCTACCACGCTCTCTGGATCTTTTGTTCTGCAGTGAGGACCATCTCGATTCATTCAGAAATGAAGCACATGGCTGTCCTTATGAACGAGTCACTGAATCACTGGCTCACTCGATTCATCCAAACGACTGATTCATTCAGTAGCCCCTCACTGAAGAACACAAGATCCAGGGGGTGTGGTTGGATCCACATCTAGGGGGTGGAGATGGGTGGGTTTAGGGATCAGGAGGTGCAGACTGCATTGAATTTATTTAATACACGAGTTTCACAATTTGAGTTGAATTACTGAAATAAATGAACTTTTCCACGACATTCTAATTTATTGAGATGCACCTGTATGTAAGGTGGGAGGAGTTGAATCTGGCTCCAACCACGCCCCCTGGATCTTGTGTTCTGCAGTTCTGCAGGACCATCTCGATTCATTCGGAAACGAAGCACATGACTGTCTTTATGAACGAGTCACTGAATCACTTGTTCGCTCGATTCATCCAAACGACTGATTCATTCAGAAACGAAGCACATGACTATCTTTATGAATGAGTCACTGAATCATTGGCACACTCAATTTGTTTAAAACCATGGATTCATTCAGTACCGAATCACTGCTATGTGCTGATGCTCAACAGATCTGCTGTGGCTCTGATTGGAACTATTTCCATTAGTGAAATTGAGCAAAACAGATGATATTGTGTCTAAATCACTGTATTAACTTCTTGTTTATGTTCCTGTTGTATAAAATCAATATCACGTTTGCATTTGTGCAGATATTGGGGAGAAACAGCACTCTTGCTGGAGTGATCCTGCTATACTATATCATACGCTGTAAATATAAGAGGCTCATATAATTTTAGGCTGATATCAGTGCATTCCTCACGCAGTCAGTCAGTCATCCTGCATCATGATCATCAGACGCTGCATCAGTGTAAGCTGACAGACAGGTCCGGAATGAGTGCATATTCACCTGTAGTTTCTGAGCGAGCGAATCTTTCTGTGTTTGCAGCTGGCTGGCTTCCTCCACTTCCTGTTTCAGATTCTCCAGTTCCTGTGGGGAACAGACAGACTGAGCACTGCATGTTTTGAGTGTGAAGCAGTGGATGGGTGGTGTGGCGCTCAGACCTCCTCTCTGGCCTTCAGCTCGGCCTCCAGCTCTTCTATGGTCTGGTTCAGCTCTGTTTTCTGTGTTTTGACACCGGCGGTTTGTCCGCTCACACACTCCAGCTCCGTGACCTGAAACACACACAGAGTCACGAAGAGCCGCTGGTTCACTCAGAATCAGACAGACTGAACTCGCTTCAGATATCGGTATCCATATTTCATCATTATAATCTCAGCATGCAGCAGAATTATATCTGAAAGGATCATACAGAGAAACATTCTACTGAAACTTTGATGGAAATTAAAAGAATAGTTCACCCAAAAAAGAAAACTGGCTTTTCTCTTCACAATTTGGACTGGAGTGGTGTGGATTATTGTGATGTTTTATCAGCTGTTTGTCCCCCCACCAACAATCCCTGCCGGTACGAGACTCGAACCCCCAACCTTTGGGTTATGAGTCCGACTCTCTAACCATTAGGCCACGACTTCCCCTCAGAATGGGTTTCCTTTTAAAGGAATCTACTGGACAAATACTAGAAGAGACTGTTTTGAAATTTATTTTCATTTAGTTTAACTTGATACACTAAAATAAACTTAAAAAACTCATTCAAATTATTAATAAAAACTCAAAATGTATTTTTTTGATACTAAAATAACACTGGTTTGGACTATTGATGAGCAAGTGATGAAAAGCAAAATTTCTGAGTGATTTTTTTTTTTTCACTCCCACTAAAATCACCCCATTCATTCTAGAATTATTAATTCTCTCCAGATAGAGCTACTCAAGTCATCTGTAATTCTTCATAAATATCACAATGTCAGTTTTTCCCAGTGATCAGTGATCTGAAAGACTTTGGTTTGTGTTCTGAACTGTCCTGTTGGAGCTGTCTGTGTCTCTGACCCGTTTGTGCAGTCGCTCGGCCTCGTCCTGATACGCCGCCAGCTGCTGCTTCCACTGCTTTACGTTAGCCGTGGACTCCAGCAGCGCCGCCGTTAGCTTAGCATTGTTCCCCTTCAGAGTCGCCAGCTCAGCCTCCCAGTGTTTGCTGATGGACGTAGAGCTGGAAGACAGAAGAGGCCTAAAATTAGTCTAGAACGACATAGAAGTGATTTTATGTAGAGTGTCTATTAAACGGTCGAGTTAGGGTTAATGTGTGTGTGTGTGTGTGTGTGTGTGTGTGTGTGTGTGCGCGTGTGAGTGAGTGCGTGTGAGTGTGTGCGTGTATCTGTGTGAGTGTGTGTGTATCTGTGTGTCTGTATCTGTGTGTGTGTGTGTGTGTCTGCGCGTGTGAGTGAGTGCGTGTGAGTGTGTGCGTGTATCTGTGTGAGTGTGTGTGTGTGTGTGTGTGTGTGTGTATCTGTGTGAGTGTGTGTGTGTGTGTATCTGTGTGTGTGTGAGTCTGTGTGGACCTGTGAGGGAACAGTACGGCGTTGATCTCGGTGTTGAAGGCGGCGTCGGGGGTCACTCTCTCGTCCGTGCCGTTGATGCTCTCTGGAGTCACAGGAGACTGAAGTTCACCCGTCGCTGATTCCTGTCACATGATCAACACAAACACACTTAACTCAAGCTGATCAGAGCCACAGCAAACACGCAGATCAGGAAACACACACATCTGGCTTCTGCTTGAAACAGAATATCACACACAGTTCAGCTGCAGGAAGAGAACAAACAGACCTTCAGATCAAATCACAGCTGAAGAACGTCGTTTATGACTTTTTTTTAAAGGGGTCATATGATGCGATTTCAAGTTTTCCTTTCTCTTTGGAGTGTTACAAGCTCTTGGTGCATAAAGAAGATCCGTAAAGTTGCAAAGACTA